CTGCACACTGCGTAGACATTTTCAGAGAACTATCCACGATGACGCCAAGATCTTTTCCCTGACTTGTTGTAGCTAAATTATCCCCCATCATATTGTATGTATAGTTGGGGTTATTTTTTCCAATGTGCATTACTTTACATTTATCCACATTAAATTTCATTTGCCATTTTGTTGCCCAATCACTTAGTTTTGTGAGATCTTTTTGAAGTTCTTCACAGTCTGCTAGTATCATCTGCAAACTTTGCCACCGCACTGTTTACCCCTTTCTCCAGATCATTTATAAATAAGTTGAATAGGATTGGTCCGAGGACTGACCCTTGGGGAACACCACTAGTTACCCCTCTCCATTCTGAGAATTTACCATTTATTCCTACCCTTTGTTCCCTCTCTTTTAACCAGTTCTCAATCCATGAAAGGACCTTCCCTTTTATCCCATGGCAGCTTAATTTACGTAAGAGCCTTTGGTGAGGGATCTTGTCAAAGGCTTTCTGGAAATCTAAGTACACTATGTCCACTGGATCCCCTTTGTCCACATGTTTGTTGACCCCTTCAAAGAATTCGAATAGATTAGTAAGACACGATTTCCCTTTACAGAAACCATGTTGACTATTGCTCAACAGTTTGTTTTTCTATGTGTCGGACAATTTTATTCTTAACTATTGTTTCGACTAATTTGCCCGGTACAGACATTAGACTTACCGGTCTGTAATTGCTGGGATCACCTCTAGAGCCCTTTTAAAATATTGGCGTTACATTAGCTAACTTCCAGTCATTGGGTACAGAAGCCAATTTAAAGGACAGGTTACAAACCTCAGTTAACAGTTCCGCAACTTCACATTTGAGTTCTTTCAGAACTCTTGGGTGAATGCCATCTGGTCCCGGTGACTTGTTAATGTTAAGTTTATCGATTAATTCCAAAACCTCCTTTCGTGACACTTCAATCTGTGACAGTTCCTCAGATTTGTCACCTACAAAAGCCAGCTCAGGTTTGGGAATCTCCCTAACATCCTCAGCCGTGAAGACTGAAGCAAAGAATCCATTTAGTTTCTCCACAATATCTTTATCGTCTTTAAGCGCTCCTTTTGTATCTCGATCATCAAGGGCCCCCACTGGTTGTTTAGCAGGCTTCCTGCTTCTGATGTACTTAAAAAAACATTTTGTTATTACCTTTGGAGTTTTTGGCTAGCCGTTCTTCAAACTCCTCTTTGGCTTTTCTTATTACATTCTTGCACTTAATTTGGCAGTGTTTATGCTCCTTTCTATTTGCCTCACTAGGATTTGACTTCCACTTTTTAAAGGAAGTCTTTATCTCTCAGTGCTTTTTTTACATGGTTGTTAAGCCACGGTGGCTCTCTTTTAGTTCTTTTACTGTGTTTCTTAATTTGGGGTATACATTGAAGTTGGGCCTCTATTATGGTGTCTTTAAAAAGCACCAGTGCTCCTCTTTGTACCCTGTCCAGGCAGCTGGCTTGGCTGTTTAGCTGTGATGGGCTTTGCTGGATTCATCAGAGCTCACAGGATATGCTGTAAAATGCTGTTGCAAGGGGTCTCTGCCCTGTTAGGAGCCCAGCTCAGGCTGCAGATCTAACTCATATCCTGTTCTCCAGGCTTAACAATTCCAATCTGAGTTTCACCTTGAAAGACCCTGTGATGGGGGCTGGGAGGCCTAGTGGGTAGTACACTTGGCTTCCAGTCCCTTGCCTCTCTGTCAGAGGGTCAGGAACAGGCACCTCTGCCCCAAGTCAGGAATTTCAGTTTTCCACCCATATCTGGGCCTCAGCCCTTATGGGGTGCAGTATGGGGACCCAGGCCCTCCCCTGGGTCCCAGCCCAGGGCCCCGTGAGAAGCAATGCCTGCAATAAGTCCAAGTCACCTGCCCCGGGCCACTTACCATCCATCTCCCTTCAATTTGGGGGTGTGGCCCCTTATAGTCCAAACAGTTACTTACCAAAGGGTCCAAAGGAGCAGGGCCACGCAGATTCTCAAAGGGTGGGGGGCTGGGGAAGGTTCTGCCCGTGGGCCTTCCCTACTCTCTGCTCCCCCCTCAGGCTCAGCCCTGTCTGGCCAGCAAAGGACTCCTCTCCCCTGCAGCCTGGCCACCACCCTTGGCTTCCACCAGTCAGAGGGGCAGGGCTATCTGAGCCTACAATTGCCTTTTCACCCCTTTGGGCCCAGTGTAGGGTTTGTATACCCCATCTAAGAGCCCAGATTGCTCCACATGCAGTGGCGCGCGAACATTTTTAATAGCAG